CAATCTTTACAGGTAGAATCAGGATAGGAACATAACCACTTATGAGTGATCCAAAGGCAGCCTACAGAAAAGAATCCATTAAATCATTTTTCTTTTTCTTCTGAAAACAGCAGTCGCTCCTGGAACCCTTTTTCTTTTCTGAGTCATAATACAGAATTTCAAAATACAAAACAGTGCAAAAGAAAAAAGTCCAACCCCCAGTGTTGTTTTAATGACCTCTTAGAATCGCAGCACTGTTGTATATTGGGATGAGTACGCTTTGGAGTTAAATTCATGTGAATTCAGGTCCTGGCTCTGCCATTTCCTACCTGTGAACCTTTGGATAAGATACTTTGGCAATTCTGAGCCCCAATATCCTCATCTGCCACATGGGAGATAATCATCACCTCCTTGCCGGTGTGGTTGTGTTAGATTACTGTTGGTTAAGTGAACACATTAGGCACTTCGTGAATATCGGCTCCTGCTGCTCCTAGAGAGATGAAAGTGGCAGCCACTGCTGGTTCTCTTGGACTAGGACATGGGCACAGGATGTTGAATTGGTGTCCTTTAAATTTTGTTATATGGACACATGTTGACAGACTTGAAATTTCATTCGTTTTTCTGTCCTAACTTCTTAGTTTGTTTTTGCATTTCAAACCCATGAATACAAAATACTCTCTAAGTTGGTTAAGAGGACAAAATATGGAGAGTATCCTTCATTCAGAGATTTGTGAAACTCATATTCATATTTCAGCACTTTTTTTGTTGTTGGGGACAAGATCTATTGGTGGCTGCTCAGTGGGAGGTGTAATTTTCCATGAAAGGAGCATAGTTAATAGGCACTTAAGTCACAGGCACTTTGTAGGTGCTGGGGATGCAGCAGTGAACAAGACACAGAAATGCCTGCTCCTCTGGAGCTTTTGGGTATACAGAGTGACAAGTAAAGTACGTATCAGATTAGTAAATTCAGTGGAGAAAAGTAAAAAAAGAAGGAATGGGAATGTTTGGAGGTTGGGATTTTAAATGAGGTAGTCAGGGGTGGCCTGCCTGGAAGTGATTTTGAGGGAAGGTTGGAAGAAGGCCAGGAACACAGACATTTCTGAAGAGAGTATGTTCTAGATAGAGGAAAAAAGACCTTGAGGTTGGAATCTCATGTTAGTAATTACATGAGTGTTTTGGAGAAAGTTGGCAAGATAACGATATTGCTTCTGTGCATATTCAAATTTGAAGTATTTATGGGATATCCAAATAGTGAGACCACAAAGCCATTCAGGAGAGGCTGAGGCTGGAAGGTCTGTGGGTCACCAGATGATAGGTGGTATTGAAGTTGTGCGTGGTGATTCTCCTGGAATTACGTAGAGTGAGGAGAGTAGAGGACCGAGGAAGGGACCCTGAGGACACAAACGTGGGGTGGGGAGGGAACTGTAGCCTGCAAGGAAGACTTAGAACCAAGCACCTTAGAGGTAGTGCTAGAATAGGAGAGGGTGATGTTCTTGAGGCTATGCCAAGGAAGAGTCTTTGACTTCCATCTTCCTCATCCCTCTGCCGGCTCCCTGCCAAATCAGATCTGAGTACAGTTATCTCCACCCTTCTTGCTAATACCTTAGTCCAGGCCTACCTCATTTCTCAATAGGCCTCCTCCAATAATAGTCTATTATCTAGTCTCCTTACTCCTAAACTTACCCTTGTCAGTCTTCTACAACGTCACACAATCTTTGTAAAATATCCCAGCACTGCCAGTGGCTCCCATTATCTTCAGGATAAAGTCTAACCATCTCTGCCTGGCGTAAAATGTCCTTCATGATCTGAGTCCCCTATTTGTTCTCACCTTCTGGCTGCTTTTCCCCTCATGTCCTAAATTTCATGCATTCAAATTATTTGTCCTTTCTAGAAGGACAGTTTTTGCCTCCAGGGCTCAGTATATGCTTTCCTTACTTCCAGGAATGCCTAAATCTCCATGGTTCATTAACTATAAGATTTGGTTAAAGTGTTACCTACTTTCTCTGTAAAGCTCTTTCTGACTTCCAGGCCAAACCAGAATCTTCCCTTAGGCCTAGCTTCCTGGTTTGTTACATATCTCTAGTGTAGTCTTAAGTACAGTATCTGGAAATTATCTTCTGTTTTCCCTCTCCAGTTTACAGCAGCTTCAATAAATGGATCTTTGTATTCCTAGTGCTTGGCTTAGTGTAGTAAAATGTCTAATGTAGTGATTCTCAAAGTGTGGTTCCTAGACCAGCAGCACTTGGAACTTGTTAGAAATGCAGATCTTGGGCCCCACCCCAGACTTACAGAATCAGAAACGCAGGTGGTGAGGCCCAGCAATGTGTGGTCTACCAAGACTCTCAGATGAATCTGATACATTTTTGAGACCCCTAAAGGTTGATGGACAACATTCACTCAGAGGAATAAACTTTGGTCTCACGGTAAGTGGGAGAAAACCCAGTGTATTCAGTCCTTAGAAAAAGGAAACACCCTTGTTCTACTGATAGCTGCAAGAACTTAAAACTGAGCATATGTATTTAAGATTTGTAATATTTTTTACTTTTCATGAATTTAGGCTCAAAATCTCTTCTGAGCCTACTAAGCCTTTAAAATGAGAATTAGATAATCTAAAAGGAAGACACAAACTTGTTAGAGAATCACTTATAGTCTCACTATCAGAGAAAAATTATCAGTGATTATTTCTAGCTAATATTATTATGGTTTTTATTCTTTTACTTCAGATTATATTTTTAATTCAGAAACCTTTATATTTAAGTCATTTGAAATATTAAAACAAGTTAAAATCAAATAATCAAATATTTTTCCCCTTTTTATAAGTATCTTCACTTTCTAACATTTAAAGTGGGGATTAAAGAGAAGATAAATCCTGGGTCATATTAAATGAGGTTTTATCCGATTGCTACCCATTTTTATGGATCTGTACATACTTTAGAAAATTCTTTTTGAATATTGTATTGACTTAAGCATCTATTATAAGTCTCGGCACTAAGTTTTTGCTTGTAGAAGGTAACATTGTTTCTGTGGGATAATCAAAAAACAGTGGTGTCCTCTTAGCTTAGAGGACTCCTTTGAGGAAAGCAACCTGTCATAAGACAAATTGTGATTCCTTTTTTATAGGTTTAGAACAGACTCAGACTCCCTTTTTAAGTTAATGAACTTTGTTTTTTAGAGCAGTTTTAGGTTCACAGCAAAATTGAGCAGGAAGTGCCAGGAGTTTTCAAATATCCCCAGTCCTCACACATGTATAGCTTTCCCCACTATCAACCTCCTCACACAGTGGTACACTTCTGTAATCAATGATCCATCATAGTTAAATGAGCATTCACTCTTGGTGCTACACATATGGAATTGACAAATGTATACTGGCATGTATTTATCATTATGGTATCATACAGAGTAATTTCACTTACCCAAAAATCCTCTGTTCTGCCTATAAATAGACTGTTTAAAAGGAAGATTTTATAGATCTCCTCATATGGTGGTTTAAATTATTTTTATTATGTGTAATGGTTAAGCCTACTGAGATGACTAGATATAAATTCTTTAAGTTCTTTTTGTTTATAGTTCTTGAGCTATAGAACCAAAATAAATTATAAATTAAGTGCCATAAACTATAGTATTGATAAAATTCAAATTAGCAATCAATATAACAAAGGGTGTTTTGCTGAAATTAAGTTCTAATTTTGGGTTTCATAGTAGACAGAAGTATTTATATTTTTTATTTTTCACTGATTAATGTGATCATTTCCATTTTAAGCATGATAGATCATCATGGGAGTCATTACATTGTCATAGGTGTTACTGTTTTCAACCCAATCTGTTAGTTCAATGGAACATTTTAATAGCATGCTGCAAAAAATAGTACTAGAAAAGGAGTACTCATTTAATGACAAATCCTTTATTGCCTATTTAAAGCTATACTTAACTGCTATGAAGTGTTGGAAAATGGCTCATAAAAAGAACCAGTCTGGCCAGTATAATTGAATATAGTACTGACCACTCTGGGATATTTTCTTTTGAGTGTGGCATGCCTGTGTGTCCCCTCTCTTCTCTTCTGTCTGCATCATTTGGCCTCAGCTTGACACCAGTAGGATTGTAAACACCAGTGCAGAAATGGATTCTGCAATCCTACTACAGTATTTAGATATAAAAATGGTCATTCAGAAGATCTGAGACATATAATTTTTTTTAAAGTGCAACATGAAAATGAAGACAATTTTCAAATTCTCAGAGAACTCCAGGAACAAGTCCTTAGATCCAAAACTCACCTTTAGAAGTACTATTAATGTGATATTGCTAATGAAATAAGTCCATGAATCAGTAATATGTAGTATTTAAATAAACTAATAATATAAAAAAATCCTCACCAAAACATTGAATAGCTAGCCTAGTTTTAAACTTTTTAAACTTGTGCCATTTAAATCACATGATTTGTTGCTATTAATATTTTTGAAGTCTGTTGTTGTTTTTTTGTCGTTCTGTATTCCCTCTATTCTTGTTCTTGCCCAGTTTACTACCCCCAACTTCTATCCCTCTCCCTTGCTGCATATTTCTTATGGCTTCATGGTATTCATGAGGCTACACAGTCTCAGTTCCCTGTCCTAGTCAGCTTTGATGGACCATCCATCTTTTGTGGGTGGCCTGGAGTGGTCACGTGACCCGAACTGAGCCAGTTATGAGTCTTTACCTAAGATTCTTAGGATTGAAATCCAGTAGAGAGAATCTTTTGTTCCTTGTAGATTAAACTGGGATGACGTCAGAGTTGAGCTTCCTGAAAAATACCCAGAGAGGAAGCCATTTCTAACAGTATAGAGTGGACTTGGCAAGAGCAGCCCAGACACCAGGAGAGAGCCCTGGAAGTGCAGTCTGCATCATCTTCATCTCTATAGTTAACTGCTTAGCTTCTGTCAAATTACCCTTTTGGTGAAAGCTAGTTCCATTTCAGGTTTTCACTTGGCATTAGAAGACATCTTTAAATAATTCATACTATGATATAAAAGGTATTTCCTTTTTTACAGGTGAAGATGGAGCTGGAAAAACAAGCTTAATAAGAAAACTTCAAGGAATAGAGGAGTATAAGAAAGGAAGAGGATTGGAATATTTGTACTTAAATGTTCATGATGAAGACAGGGATGGTGAGTGTCATTTATTTGTAACAAATTTCTGAAAGTTATTCCGAGGTGCACTGCTGCTCATACTAGTCTTTGACTTTGTTAGGTGTCATTTTTTACAAGGAATCCTATGTTCTTCCAGTCAGTTATGTTTAGGCTTACTTTTATTGGTTTGCTGTTGGAATTCATAGTGTTATTTTTTATTTTATTTATTAATTTTTTTTATTTTGTTATCATTAATGTACAATTACATGAAGAACATTATGTTTACTAGGCTCCCCCCTTCACCAAGTTCCCCCCACAAACTCCATTACAGTCACTGTCCATCAGCGTAGTAAGATGCTGTAAAATCACTACTTGTCTTCTCTGTGTTGTACTGCCCTCCCCATGCCGTCGCCCCCCACATTATGCATGCTAATCATAATGTCCCCTTTCTTTTTCCCTGCCCTTATCTCTGCCTTCCCACCCATCCTCCCTAGTCCCTTTCCCTTTGGTAACTGTTAGTCCATTCTTGGGTTCTATGATTCTGCTGCTGTTTTGTTCCTTCAGTTTTCCTTTGTTCTTATACTCCACATATGAGTGAAATCATTTGGTACTTGTCTTTCTCTGCCTGGCTTATTTCACTGAGCATGATACCCTCTAGCTCCATCCATGTTGTTACAAATGGTAGGATTGTCTTCTTCTTATGTATATGTACCACATCTTCTTTATCCATTCATCTACTGATGGACACTTAGGATGCTTCCCTTTCTTGTATTGTAAATACATTCTTGGCTATTGTAAATAATGCTGCGATAAGCATAGGGGTGCATCTGTCTTTTTCAAACTGGGCTGCTGCATTCTTAGGGTAAATTCCTAGAAGTGGAATTCCTGGGTCAAATGGTATTTCTATTTTTGGTTTCTTGAGGAACCTCCATACTGCTCTCCACAATGGTTGAACTTTTACATTCCCACCAGCAGTGTAGGAGGGTTCCCCTTTCTCCACAACCTTGTCAACATTTGTTGTTGTTTGTCTTTTGGATGGTAGTGATCCTTACTGGTGTGAGCTGATACCTCATTGTGATTTTAATTTGCAGTTTTCTGATGACGAGTGATGTGGAGCATCTTTTCATGTGTCTGTTGGCCATCTGAATTTCTTCTTTGGAGAACTGTCTGTTCAGCTCCTCTGCCCATTTTTTAATTGGATTATTTGCTTTTTGTTTGTTGAGGTGTGTGAGCTCTTTATATATTTTGGATGTCAACCCTTTATCGGATCTGTCATTTGTGAATATATTCTTCCATACTGTAGGGTACCTTTTTGTTCTATTGATGGTGTCCTTTACTGTACAGAAGCTTTTCAGCTTGATATAGTCCCACTTGTTCATTTTTGCTTTTGTT